AAAAAAAGAAATTCCATAGGCTCACTTTAGTTTTCCTAGGATATACTTGAATTTCTTAAATTTCATTTCACCCAAATATAATCAAATCTTCAAAGAAGGGGAGAATGTTCATTTCATGATTTTTTTTTTGATCTGACACAAACTTTTGAAGAATATAAGTACTTTTTGCACCTAGAAGGATAAAACAGCTGCCTAATTGGGGCAACTGAATTTGTGTACACAATACAACTGCAAACACGGTCTTAGCTGCATTTCCTGATGTACTTTGTACAGTGTTCTCATAGAAATAGGTTGGATGTCATTTGTAGGAAGACAAGTTTTAGGATTTTGTGAAAAGAGAAAACTTTGTGAAAGATGTCACTTCCTAAAGGTTTTTTGTTTTACTTTACTTATACACACAAGAACTGGGATACAGATCAGAGGTGCAGTGGGTGAGAGGATTCACCAAAGAGAGTGAGGAGCAGAACAGGCAGATTGACTGAAGTAACACTGTGAAGGGGAGCAATAGGTGGGTCAGGAGATGTCATATGGGTCAGCTCCCTGGCCAGGGATCCAACTCATGCTGCAGTGGCTGGGAACAGCTTTATAGTGCTGTGCTTTAACCTGTTGTGCCACCAGGGAGGGCCCAGTTCCTAAAGGTTTTATTGCATGCAGCCTGCAGGGACAAACCAATGCTCATCCTAAAGTCTTTCATAGGAAATAGCCAACCATCCAATGGTATTGCTACTAGTTACCTTTAACTTACGATACTAGTGAGTTTTTTTATGGTAAGATAAGGTGGTTGACTTAATAAAAATAAATCAAACTTAGCAATAATTTTAAGAACAAAAGAAAGTAATAATGGCTCCAAGCTCTTTGTAGTCAGGAATGATGCTTCCTGTTAGAAATAATCAAATAATTATTTGGTTGATGGCAATAATGATATCTTTCTTCTATGTTACTTTACACATAAATTAACTGATTCTATATTATAGGGCAATTTTCAATAAACGTAGATATTTAGCTTAGGTATATATAGAGGTCTCTTGGAAAAACTGTATTAAGTAACCAAGAAAGAACATTTAAAAAATGTTTTACAACTAATTTTTTCCTTGAGTGTCAACTGGAATGATAACATGAATATATTTGTAGGGAGCAGTATACCTTTGTCATTACATAACTTTACACTGTGCACATTACCTGTCAAGTAATCAGTACTTTCCCCTCCTGGAGCTAAAAAAAAACACTTTAAAAAGTTTAGCTGAAAGACAGAATGTTGTCGCTGACAACATTTGATCTCATATGTCAAATATCTCTTTCTTAGTTTACCAAATGAAAATTTGTCTGCAGAATAAGTAGGTGAAACACAAAAAAAAATCATCATTAACCAATATTCTTGCTGTCCAGAAAATTTCTTTCAATTCCAAGTAGTCCCATGCATTGTAAGCCTTGAGTTGTGAAGAATGGAACACGTTTAGCATAGATTTAGGAAGAAGTACTACAGCCCTGAAAAATCCCCTGGGGTACATCCCCTGCCCAGGGCAGAAGCTGGAGTGCATGAATCCTCCCTCAGGCAAAGATTCTGATCAGAATTTATGATACTTTTTTTTTATTATATACTGGTTTACTTTTATTTTCCAACTTTTCAAAGGTTCAGAAAAGGTGGAATATAAACATTCATCTACCTATCAGATAGTTTATAATTAACATTTTCAAACTGCAACTTATCATACATCTATCCATCCTGCCATTTTTCAAATCATTCTTACAAATATACGTTTCAAAATAAGTTGCAGACATCAATATACTTCTTAAATACTTAAGGTGCATAGCACTGACTAGGGTTTAATTGCTTATAATTCTTCTGGGAGTAAATCATTTATTATAACATGAAAGTTTTTCTATCAGAAAACATCATGGTTAGCAACTATACATTGCTTGTTGTGATTATTTAGCTAATATTTTCTCCCTCTTGAAGGCAGCAGGGAATGTGCTGGTTTGTCATTAGTATATCCTTACTGTCTGGTGAAAATACTGCTGAATATGCAGTATTTTGTTAGGAAACACATGAGAAGTCAGAAAGAGAAGAATGGAAGACAGAGCTATTGAAGTGGGAAAAAAATGAACTTTGGCCTCTTTGCAGTAGTTTAAAAGTGTTCTGACTACTGGGGTCATTTACAGCAACTTTGGAAATTGACGGAAATCCTTGCTGAGGAAATTTTATATTGTTTAATACAATAAAATTAAGCATAGTGGGTATTTTCATGACTTGTTCTGTATATAAGTTCCTGGAGTGCTTGCTGGTTATGGAGTTCTGGCTGGTTATTTGGTAAGGAAGCTTATATTACCTGTGTTTGTAATTGAGACATTACTTCTATCCCACCTCTGGACTTGAGTCTTTGATAAGTAACCTGTGCCACAAGATGAAATTTCACATGAAGAACATTTGAGCTATGGATTATTGACTCAAACACTGATTGATCACATACCTATGTGACACATGAAGAATAGAATCTCACTCTCTCCTTTTCAAACACCCCTTATACTTCCCTGACCCCTGCTTGGTGATTTCCTCAGTTCTTTTTGGTGATGCTCTAAATTAGGACTTTGTCTTTAGGACTTAAGTGAAACTGACACACAACTGGCCTGTAAAGGGGATTGCATTAATCTTGTCCCCAATGATTCTTACAGTGTCCAGTCTAACTCAAATTTCAAAGTCTGAAGTTTTCTTTGATGACCTAGTTACCTACTAAATGAAATGTTACTTTCTTGTTCCAGGAGCTGTTGACAACTTGCATTATGTCACTGTGAGTTCATATGCCAGGCAACACCACCCCATCTTTCAATGCTGCAGTTTTTCCTCTTTTGTTATTCTCAGAGCCATAATTGCAGATCTTCTCCTTGGGAAGAATCTGTTCTCACAGGATCTACCCAGTCAAATGCCAGGCTACAGTAATTCTTCTACTTCACAGTCATTACTCGTGGTTAAAGTGGTACTGCCTCAATGTTCTGCTCTAGGTTTCAAATCTAGTGAGGCAGGGAAAGGTTCCTTTTTGTGAGAATGTTTTCTTCAGAGTGTTTGTGGATCAGACAAGGACCAGGAGAAATCTGTAACCTTGAGAAGGAGGAAGCTTTGAGACTCAGTGCCAGTTAAAGTAGGGAAGGACAAACTTCTTTATCCCATTTCTGGGTCACAGGACATTTTGCTGATAAGATTTAAATGTTCCTTTCAGTAACTTTTTTTTTTTTTAACGCTCCCCTAGCCACTACCCTCCATTTTCCCTCAAGCCCTCTAGGCTTCTGCTTCACCGCTGTCCTCTTCGACCCCCAATTCTCTTGGAGGGCCCTGGCAGCGCCCGCCCTTGCCCAGACCTTCTTCCTGCCTCTCCCATCGAACAGCCCCACGTTCCAGCTCTGCGCTTACTCCTGTCCTCCGTCGGCGAGTGAATCAGAAGAGTCCTCCACAGTGAAACAAAACACTTAATGACTCACCCTGAGTTGTCACCCTCTAGCCTCCCCTAACCCCGTGCCCAAGGTTTTTGATCACCTCTGCATAAAAAATAAGACTCAGAGCTCAGAGTCTAAAAATCCAACGGCTGATCAGTGTCTCGAGCTTCAAACCAGTGCAAAGCAATCCTATTCCTGCGCGAACGCTCTGTGTCCTCAGTCGGATCTTGGCCGACACGCCCGCGCCGCAGTCCCCGTCGCCGGGCCCGCCGGACCTGTCACCTCCGGCCGCCCCCGCCTACCTCCCGGGCCTGGGCCTCTCCCCGCCTCCCGCCAGAGGACCTCGTCGCCCCGCCTCCGACTCTGCCGCGGCCACCATTGGAGCTGGCCAGCTCCAGACAGGCGCCCATTGGCCGGATGGGGAGTCATTCACCCAGCGCATTCCGCCGCCCTCAGGCTTGCGGGGAAACTTCCTTATTATTGTGACGCCGAAAACGGAGAAACCCTGAGCCAGGCGGTTGGGGCTGTCACAGTCGGAATCCCCAGCGGCGGTTCGGCAGCGGTCAAGGTGCGTGCGGCGGGGGCCGGGGTTCCAGGGAGGAGGGCCCCGCGGAGCTGCAGCCACGCGGCCGCCGCGTTCCACTTGGCGCGGCTGTCGGCGCGCGGCGCCCGGAGAGGGGACCGCGGCTGCAGGGCGCTTCCCGCGACGACCTGGAGCCCAGCGCGCGGGGAGGTCGGGGCGCCGGCGGCTGCGTGGCGGGGCGCGTTGAGCGCCTCTGGGCTCGCGCGCACCCCCGGCGGTCCCCGGACTCGCTCTCGGGCTCAAAGAGACGCGGCGCCGGGAAAGGCCAGAAGCTGCCTTAGACATGGGAGCGCCCCCCACCCCGACTTGGCTGCCTGCAGACCATGAGGAATTGCGACGCAGAAAGTCAAAAAGAAGATCCTCCCCTTCCTCCCTGCCTGTCCCTATTTAAATTCCGGGGCTCCGGTGACACCATCGCGGTGCGGGGCGCCAACGCTTCTCCGCGAAACAGGAGCTGGCGCGCCCTGGGCGTCCCGGAGAACCCCGGCGGCCGCGAGGAGTTTGCGCTGAGGACGCGGGGCTCGGCGTCCGCGGGGACAGGGACAGCGCCCGCGGGGCCGCGGCACCCGGCACCACCCACCTGCCGCGGCCGTGCCGGGCTCGCCTCGCCTATTCCGCCTCCTGGGCGGAGGGTGCGAGTGGACACGTGTGCGCGTGTGTGTGCCGACACGTAAGTGCGCCGGCGGGCGGGGGGTGTCCGGAGCTGGGGCATTCCGGAGCAGGTGGCACTTTGAGTTTTTGTTAAGTGTGGGGCGCGGGTTAACAGGGACTACTGACTGGAAAAACAGGCGCAACCTGAAATAGATGAAGGACTGGGGAGGGCTGGCTCTGGAGACTTTACCTAAAACAACTGTGCATTGATTTTGTCTGCACCCTGGGTCCCCAGGAATGCATTGGAACCCTGCTTTCGGCATGTCGTTGGCACTGTTTCCTGATTCCATTTTACTTTTTAAATCAGCCGCATCTAAGAAGTCTCTTAAATTTAGAGCTCAGCCTTCCAGGATTTTGCTTGCATTCGTTACATGCGGAATGCTTTCGAAAAGACGATTCCAGAGCTCTCTTCCTTTTGTGTTTTTTTTTTTTTTTTTTGGTTTCTTCTAGCTCTTTCCACAAATAGGAAGCTATTTCTAGAACCTTTCGTTTGATAATTTGGTAACATTTAAGTGAGCCGGGTTTAACGCCAGACTGAGGAGAAAGTGAAATACAATGAGGATGAGCTGTTATTTTAAATGTAGGGGGGTAGGGCAGGGGTGGGGATGGGCAGATTATTGTGAAACTTTGTAATTTCTTTACCCTGGGCGCGTGGAGGGGGTTGGCATCATCCATTCATAGATCAGAAAAGAGGAGTAAGTTCCTCTCCCCTTTGAAAGAAAAATAGATGTTACCCTTTTGACCCCATTGAGAGTAGGAACCTTCTAGAGAAGTTTCCTAATGCAGGAATTAAGGAAGAAGGTTTGAAACCTTTTGGCAAAAGTTCTTTGGCAGGAAAATAAAATTAACCAGAATTGAACTTATTTCAACAGTAGGATATTTTTTCTTTTTTAAGCTAAGATTCCAGCACTTTTTAAATGTATAGTTGGAGCCACTAGTTATCGCCTTTCATTCTGAGGAACTTATTTAAATTCCTTAAAATTTGCAAGAAACTGAAACTTTTTGAACTAAATGATAGTTGCATACTTGCTGGAGAGGCAAGGTAGTTTTGCTTTCAGAAATAAAAATGATATTCTCCAAAGTGAATGGCGTTTCATACATAATAGAATTGAAGTTAAGATAATATCTTAAAGTCATGCAAGACTTCTAAAGAGATATAAGGTGCTCTTAGTCTCGTTTTGTTTTGCATGAAAGAGGATGTGGTGATGAGAAAGAAGGAAGATAGCAGAAAGTCTTCATCACCGTTGTGACAAAAAAGTGATATAGAAGATAGTTGTGGAAAAGTAAGTTTCATGGAAAATAGAATAAATTATTTCTGAAGTTAATGTTTTTAAGCAGGTGATTTGAAAATAAGTTTATTTTTACTTTTATATCTAATACAAATACCAGGGATTTTTCAAGGTGCAATTTGTCTCTAGTTGACTTTTAAAGGTGTTATGTCCATTGTTGGTTAGTGGTTATCTTTATTGGGCTTTTTTTTTTTTTTCATGCATACAGAACTGCATACAGGCTAGAGGTGCAGGGGTGGTGAGAGGATTGACCAGAGGCAGAGTGGGGAGCAGAACAGCCCACTGATGAAGTACTCCCCACTGCTGAGGGGAGCAGGGGCGGGTCAGGAGAGGTCTGCCACACCATGTGGGTCACCTCGGGGCTGGGGATTGTACTCATGCTGAAGTGGCTTTAGCTTCCTAGTGCTGTGCTTTACCCACTGCACTGTCAGGGAGGGCCCTTTATTGAACTTTTACTGAACTCTAATCTTGAGGTACAATGTTTGGGGGCTTTCAATCTTGCATAATTTAAAGATGTTCTTATTTTCAAAGGTTTATTCGTCTTTGTGTTTTCAGTAACATGAAAGTGCTTTGTAGAGTTCTACACTAATGTTAATCTCTTTTTCTTTTTTTTTTTTAAACTGGCAGATCTACAAGGTGAGGCCGAACCATTCTGACTTCTATCCAGATGCCAACTTTGTGACCTGCAGTGGTAAGTTACTTAATTTCTCTGAACCTCAGTTTCCTCAGTAAGTGAGATAACATCTGACTTACAGACTTGATGAAAGGATTAAACAAGATAATGTCTGTAAAGGACTCAGGCTGTATGATTGCCTGGAGGGGAACATTAACCAATTCTTAATTATTTCCTTCTGTTCTGGTCTAATGGAAAGAACAAGGTGAGCCCTGGAATAGGTGACTTAGTTTTTGGCCTCTGCTTCAACCACTTACCTCTCAGAGGACCAAAGTTAGTTAGTTGGCCTTGAAAGGCCTCAGCTGCCATTAAAATGAGGTTAAGAATGAATGTTTCTTGCCTAGAGGTTGGCTCAGATGGCTTTTTAGGACTTTTTTAATAAGATGCTCCCTTTAATGATGTAACTCTGCCCTCTTTACACGTTTACTACATTTAGAAATAGTACTGATGGGTTGGCAGGGGCTTGGTTTCTGTGTGTGAACCAGGAAGTGAACTACTGTTGCTACAAATCAGTGTGAACATGGAAGAAAGTCTGACTAGCTGTAGAGATTGCCTTATTCAATCCCTCCTGTTTATGGGTAACAAAGGTACTAGTTGGCTAAAAATATCTCCAGTGCTTTATGCTAATATGTGTTCTTTGGGGTACAGCAACCTCTTTAAATTTTTATTTTCAAAACTGGAGGTGTCCATCTCAACATGTTAATGTATAAGAGATTGTGTAGTGTCATGCTTAAGAGCACGGACTTTAAAATATAGTAGCTGAGGCCCTCCCTGGTGGCGCAGCGGGTTAAAGCACAGCACTGAGAAGCTAAAGCCACTTCCGCATGAGTTCGATTCCCGCCTGCCCCGGAGGAGCACGGCAGACCTCTCCTGACCCCGCCCGCTGCTCCCCTCAGCAGTGTACTTCGTCGATCCGCTTGTTCTGCTCCCTGCTCTGTCTCTGGTGAATCCTCTCACCCTCCGCGTCTCTGGCCTGTACCCCAGTTCTGTATGAATAAATAAATAAATCTTAAAAACATAGTAGCTGAGATTTGAATCATTCTTTGTGTCTTAGTTTCTACTTCAGCTATTTGCATACATGTTTAGGCGAGTGACTTAACCTTGTTTAAGGTTATTATAAAGGGTGAATGAAATAATCTAGGTAAAGTTTTTAGCCTCACGCCCAGACACACAGTAGGCTTACAAAAATAGTTACAAGTGCTTTTCTTTATTCAACAACAATTCCTTGAGTCACTAGTAGATGCCAGACATGATTGTAGTTTCCAAAAACAGAAATAAACAAAAGAGGTTCAGTTCTTTCTTTGTGGAGATTATATTCCTCAACTGACATTGAGAATCATTACTATTAAATGATATTTCCAACTGCCAAAGGCATTTTGCTTTCAGATCTGCTTGAGTAGGAGAGTGCATTTTAGAATGGAGAAAATACATCGTTGTGTTTAGTACCTAGAAAACAAAACCAAGCAAATTTTGATTTGGGGAGTTCCACTTTTCTCAGTTTGGGGTTCAGTTTCACTAGGCACTTGTCAAGCACCTAGTGTGGTCCTGTATTATGTTGAGGCTCCAAATGGGTAGAACTGATTTTCTCTATGGAGAAACCCCCAGGGTACACAGGAATGGGAAGTTGGGCTTAGTTGCTTGGTACTATACTGTATCAGAAATAATAATATGTCAACAGTACTTTTGATTTATTTTTTATTTGTAAGCATAACACTAGATATGTAATATGGATGTTAAGATACAACTATGCAGGACAGAATATCTTACTACTGAAGTTGTCTTTTTGCTCCTTCCAGATTGTACCTTCCATCTTGACTGCCCTATAATCGTCACCTTATATATTGTATTGACCATTTTTTTAAAACCACCTTTCATGTTTTAACCTTCATTTGCTTGTTTTACTTGTGTTTTGACTTGGTTTAAATTCATCATACTATGAATTCCATGATTTCCTTCTCTCAACACTGTTTTTAAGGTTATACTGGCTTTATAGGTGAAGTTTATTTTTCACCACTGCACAGTATTCTGTTAAATGCATATACTACAGTTTATTCATTTTCTAATTAATGGATATTTGGGTTACTTTTGTTTTATCTGTTTCAGACTGTGCTGAAATGGACATCCTTGTGCATTTGTCTTGGGACATGTACTCATGAGTTTCTTGTGTTTTGTATAGTAAACTAGCTATTAGTGATTACTAATATGACATTAAGTGATTACTTACATTGAAATTAAGATAGTTCAAACTTAAATATATGTTAAAATTTCAGTTTCTAAGTTGCATTTTAAATGTTCAGTAGCTGCATGTTGCTACTATCATTTTGGATAGTGCACATAGGTAACATTTTTGTAGTTGAGGATGTTCTGAATGTCTAGATTTTCCTAATATTTGTATCTCCAGTTCTCAGTGGATAGTGCAGGAGCACCAAAGATGCTTGGTTACTGGACAGTACTGACCACATGCCTGAGAGTGAAATTGCTATTCTGTGGCATATTCACATCTTCATCCTCCCTAAGTGATGCCATCTTGTTTTCCCAAATGGGGTTTGTTTTCCCAAACCTTGCTCTTGAACCCTCACGGAAGCCTTTCATGGAAGTTATGACAGATAGCAGGCATTGCTTTGCTATAGTACAAATTCAGTGGAACATAGTTAATGCTGATCTCAGGGAGGGAGAAAGGATTCAACATTTCCAACCTTTGGGGAGTTATCCTGTTTGCTGAGGTCTCAGAGAGAAACCCAGGGAGAAGGGTGGCAGTGACCACAGAAGCTGGTATCTGTTGGTCGCTTACTGCTGTGTGCCAGGCACCTGCCATGCAATGGACATGTTGCTCTCATCTGTGCTCACTACCCTGTCATCACTTCCTCCCACTTTAGAGACAAAACAGGCTTGATGTGGCTAAGTCTCTGCCCCCAGCTTTCACAGCTAGTCTCTGGTTAATTCAGTGTTTGAACTTTGGTCCTTTTGACCCAGAAGCCCTGTTGAGATGAATACTGAATCTTTTGCCAAGAACAGATGAGGTAAAAAACTGGGAAAGTGTCAGGTGTGGCATTGAGGAATGGGTTATCTTTCCTCCTTTTGTATTTGATGAGGAAATAAGAGGCAGGAAGTGGAGAAGCTGGAATTGAGGTGGCCTGGCACAGCCAAGATAGCTCTTCCAGTTACTGAGTTGTAGTCTAGTACAGTCTTTCGCAGTGCCATACAACTGTGGTTTGAAGTTAAAACAGAGGATTGAGACACTGGTTTAAAAAAAAAAAAAATGGGTGTGAAGTTCTGGAGGATCACAGTGTTAAGTGATGAAGAATACTGCTGAAACTTGACCTTCATGGTTTTGGACAACAATAGCTACAAGATTTAGGGGTTCCATTAAGATTGTACTTTTCAGTGAAAACTGTGTTGATGGCTAACTTCTCTTTAATGCACTGAACTTACTGAAAGTGAGATGATTTTAGTGCTTCCTGATAATGTTTGGGCAGAGCCAAATGCTGATCTGGGTCATATGTCAAATGAGCGTTAGTCATTCATTCATAGGGATATATCTTATTTGTGATTGGTATTTAATTACTTCTCTTAATAAGTCATTTTTTTTTTTTTGATTACTTGAAGATTCCTTTGCACTAACTCAGGTGGCAAGGAATTTTGAAGTTTTCTGAAACAGTTTGTCGTTGCTTCTTACCCACATTCGTTTGGCCAAAGCATCCTGAATTAGCTGACTAATTCACACTCAGCCAGGGCCTGGTAGATCCAGGGTACCAAATTAGTGACAAATACAAATGCCAAATGGCTGGGGTGGGTCCAGTGGTCCTGGTGTTCTTTCCTTGTAGTAGAAATTTCCCTGGAAACAAGTTATCTAAGTTGATTCTTTAATTGTGGAATCTAAGCAAAGCAAGTGGCTAGGTGAATTTAATGACTAACATTATGGAGTATGATCTACCATTTCTACTAAAGCTCAATAATTTCTTAGCAGACACATTAATCAGGGTGACCAATGGTGTCACCCTTTCTATTGGCCAGTTCTAGGAGATTTTAGAAGCTCTGATCCTTTGGCTGTCAGTTTTTCAGGTTCTTTATTACAGAGCACAGATTCTGGACTTTAGTCCTCATTCTGCCTAGTTGTGTGATTTAGACAAGTCACTTTACTCTTTTTCAATTTTTATTCTTGTATTTTTTTGGGGGGGGCTTCATTTTCTTCATCTATAAACTAAAACTTAAAATCTCAAAGAAGATTAAAATGATTAAAATCTGTGAAGCACATAGAAATGAGACTCAGAGTAAGCTCAATCAAATTAAGACATATTATTGATGATTTAATTATTGGTACTATAGGCAAGTTTATTCCAGGTGACAGAAATCCAATTCAAATACTCTTAAACAATTAAACAAATCAGGGACTTACTGGACTTTTGTTGATTCTTATTATTCAGAGTATAACATGATAGTTAGGTTCTATAAAATTGCTACTTTCTACTAATTAACAGTGTTTAACACTGAATTATTAAATACTGAGCCATTGATTGTAGGGGAGTACAGGGTTAGTTAGATTTTATTTTAATTTATTTATGCATAGAAGAACTGGGGTTTAGGCCAAAGGTACAGGGAGTGAGAGGATTTACCAGAAACAGAGTGGGGAGCAGAACCTGCAGATCTACTGAAATACACTGCTGAGGGGAGCAGCAGGCAAGACAGGAGAGGTCTGCTGAGCCATGTGGGTCAGCTCCCTGGCAGGTGGGATCAACCTCAAGTCACACTAACTTGCAATAGTTTGGTAGTGCTGAAATTTAACCCCTTGTGCTACCAAGACAGCCCCAGGATTAGTTACATTCTTTTTTTTTAAAAAATATTTATTTATTTATGCATACAGAGCTGGGTACAAGACAGGGGTGCAGGGGTGGTGAGAGGATTCACCAGAGACAGAGTGGGGAGCAGAACAGGCCCACTGAATGGGGTACACTGCTGAGGGGAGCAGGGGGCGGGTCAGGGGAGGTCCGCCATGCCACGGATCACCTCCAGGGCAGGGATCTAACTCATGCTGAAGTGGCTGTAGCTTCTTAGTGCTGTGCTTTAACCCACTGCGCCTCAAAGGAGGGCCCGATTAGTTAGATTCTTAACAGGAGCATCTGGCCAGTGGATCAATATGTTATGTGTTTAGGCACTTTATTTAATATGTATTATTATTTTTTTAACAAATGATGCAATGTTTCTTTGCAATTAAATGTAGTCAAGAAGGGATTTTAACTTTCTCTAACTGGGGTAATGTTTCATTACATTTCTTTGGCTCTTTCAGTCTCTCAACAATGCAGTACACTACATGATCTAGACAGTTATCATCTCTTGAATTCCCAGATTCAGCTGCTTTTTTATCTTTTCTGTAGCTTCATTATGCACTTACTATAGATGTTTCTTTACCATTCGTGCAGAGTGGCTGGCCATATGTACAGATTGGTGAGTTTCTCTTCCTTTTTTCAGCTGTACCCTACTGTCAGTTCATTAACATTGAGCCGTCAGCCAGCGGCACTATAACTCATGCGTGAATGAAGCTCATCTAACACATGCTTTTTCTCTGTAAGGTGCATTTGCAGTTTTCTCATACTTAGGAACACTAGACGGCTCTTAAGCTTTATGCTTGGGGGGCCATTTTAAACAGTGAAATTACCAACAAAAAATATAAAGACATAAAAAAGATGGGACTAACTATACTCAAGAAGACCATGAATTTACAGTCTGAGAGTTGAAACAATGAGGCAGGATGTGGTCTTTACATGTCCAAGTTTGCACAAGGATAACTTAACATTTTCTCCTCTCTGCACATGACTGGGAATAACTGCAAAATGCCCAAAATATTGGTTTGGGGGTTACAAATAAGTTTTAGTGAGTAGTGCATACAAAATTCACAAGTATGCAAAACTGAAGAACAGCTGTGTTTAGGATGTGCAGGTGCTGGGGTGCAGGGAGGGGGGGAGGAGGATCGAAGGCTCAATCTAAACTTTGGTGGTTCTTTCTCTTTCCTTGGGACCTTTGTGGGTGGTAGGTTCCTGATGTGTTACAGGTATCTCTGATGTTGCAAGGAAAGTTGTTTCCAGCAACTTACCTTATCCTTCAAGAGGCAAAAGGCAGTCTTCCATCAGAACTCCATGGAACTTAAAGGGGAAGGACTCTTGCACTTGGGAGTGTGGTGCTATCCCTGCACCAATCATTGTGGCTTAGGGGTGGTGTTTTCTGATCTGCTTGGTGATGGTCATGCTCACCCTATGAAAGAGGTGGTAGAGTCCCAAGGAAGAGGAACTTGGGGAGAGATAATAGACAAGCACAAAGCATTTTTGAGATTTTTTTTTTAAACCATTTTCAGAAAGGTTGCAACTCATTGAGTTGGCAACTTTCTTTTTTTTTTTTAACTCAGGACTTCCTACCCCACCAACCTCTTTTTTATTGATGAGTTGTATTTCACCATGTGCATATATTACAGTTGTTTTATGAGTGCTCCCACTGATAGATATTTATGTTATTGTTATTTTTGTTTCATGTGAATAAAGCCCTATAAGCATGGTTTATAGATCTCTGCATAGATTGGAAATCATAGTAACTTGACAGCATATTTTTAGATACATGCTTCTCATCCATTTTTTTTAAATATTTGAAATTGAGGGTAAAAATAGTACCCACATAGGATTATTGTGAAGATGACATGAAGCAGTGGTGTAAAATGCTTATTAGCATAGTGACTGATATATAGTAATCATTAACAGACTCATGAAATATTCAGAATTTAAAAAATTGGGTTGGATATAGCTGGTGAGGAAGTGAAAATGAAATTATGAATAGGTGATAGATAGAATCTTGTTGCTCTTTTTAAACTTGTAATCAACACCCCCACCACCTGTTTGTATTTCATCTCCCCTCCCCTCTATTGTTGCAGTTAATGACAACAACAACAAATTTTAACCTTAATGTATATATTTTTAGTTCTAAGGTCTAGACAAAGGGAGTAAAATTCTTGGGATGAAGCAGAATTTTCTGGTAAAGATAGCAAATTGAGATTCAGTTGCATATTTTATTGGGGGCTGTTCTGTGCCTTTCCTGAAAGCCACAAGAGTTCAATGAGTTAAGTCAGATAGCACTCCCGTAGGTAGTCAGGTGATACTGCACTCTTTGGATGTGCCAAACTTCTGTTTATCCTTCATCACCGGATGGGTGTTGGGCTATTTTCACCTATTGAGGTCATGAATAACGCTGCATGACATTACATATTTTCGTATGGATGTATGCTTGTGGTTCTCTTGGGTCCATAGCTAGGAGTGGAATTTCTGGCTCATACAGGAACTCTGGTTGTGCCTTCTGAGAACCTTTGAGACTGTTTTCCAAAGCTGTGTCATTTTCTGTTCCCACAAGCAGCGTAGGGGTGCTCCCATTGCTGCACATCCTCACCAACACTTGTTATTTCCTGTTCTTTTGCTTGTAGTCATACTAGTTGGTATGAGTGGGCTTGAAGTGAAGGGAGATGAGAAAGATGAGATTTAGCGTTTCTATCAGAGGGAAGCATGAATTTTTAAATGATAGTGAAACTTTGGGCTAGAGTCAGCAGTAACAAGTCAGCTAAACTTGATTGAGTACCTGCTAACTTGAAGAGGTTTTGTTATATTGTGCTCTCTGGTAAGACAATTAAAATGTGGCCGCTGATTTAATTTATAAAAAAACAGAGTCCCCAACCAAGGTTCTCTAGTGTATATGTGTAGGGCAAACGAAGATGCTCAGACTTTTGTGCTTCTGGCATCTGGCTATCTATCACCTGCAAGCCTTGAATGCAGGAGTGCTTGGGAGTGTGGGCTGGGGTAGGCATGCCTGATGGCAGACACCTGAGTTTGGCATGGGCATGTGAAAGTGGGCACATCTGAGCCTGGAGGCTGAGCAGATAAGCAGGGGTAATGCGGCAAAAAGCAGCAGAGAACGGCTATGAGAGAACACCAGAGAAAGCCCAGAGGAAAGATGCGCCCCCCCTCCCCCCCCGCCTGCCCTGACCCTGGCTGCCTCACTACAGACGGTGCACAAAGATCATAAAAAGCCTGAAAAAGGCACCAAGGGCTCCAGACTCTCCTTTATCTGTTTGCCCGTATCCAGAGAGAACCTGCCCTGTGCCTTGCTGGCAAAACAGTGTGTCAGAGGATGCAGGCTGACTGTGGCTGGAATGGTCCCCAGTGGCATTCAGGTAGGAAGTGAAGCTTGACTCAGATCTGGAAGGATATGTGAGAGGGGAGGACAGAGAAGATAACATGTTTACTCTTTCCTTTTCATTTCAAATGGTGAGTTGTTACTGTGCAAGATAACAACAGGGTTCTTAAATGAGTTAACTGGTTCAACAGTTTTTTTTCTTAACTAAATAAGCAGAAAAGTCAAAGGAAAGGTACAATAAGAAAGGGCAAGGTGAAGTCATGAGGTCATTTTAAAACTGTTGTCATAGTGGTTGGCAAAGGTTGCTTCAGCAGGTCTCTTGTACCCAGAGTTCCTGGTAATCTGAAAACCACATTCTATCTGTACATTGCATCTCTACATTGGCACAGTTTCTCTAGAAATTTTCTAAACGCTTACTAAAACACAAAAATAACAATCATTGATTTGTGTTATTTTCAGATGCAGCATATCTGAAGAAATTAAGGCCGAAGTTAATTTTGAAATTATTACATTTATTCAAGTTTGTCTCTCTTTTTAATCTTTTCCACAACTCTTTTCTAGGCTACATGACTTCCTGAAGGAGAAGAACAATGTTATGTTGGGGATATTGGTCTCTGGGCCAACCTGGGATCAGCACCAACTTGCAGGGGATTGTGGCTGAGCCGCAGGTGTGTGGATTCATTTCGGACAGAAGCGTCAAGGAGGTCGCTTGCGGAGGAAACCACTCTGTGTTCCTGCTGGAGGGCGGGGAGGTGTACACGTGTGGTTTGAACACCAAGGGCCAGCTGGGCCACGAGAGGGAAGGAAACAAGCCAGGTGAGTGCACCCGCGGGTCTTGCTGGTTAGCAGCAAAGGCTGCAGGAAGGGAGAGCTAGGAAGACTTCCTCATCTGGCCTTCACCTTTCAGGAAAGTTAATTGGATGGGGCAGTGCACCTCTGTTATTTAGCACCTTTGTGTCTAATTCAAGCCTTTTGATGCAAACCCAGCCATTTTGTTTTTTATCTTGTTAAATAACATGCAATGTGAGTTCTCAGGGGAGGGGCTTTAACTAGTGGCTTTCAAGTTAGGGAAGTAGGTTTTGCCCAGTAATAAAATGCTAAGACATGACTATTTTGTGAGTAGGTTATCCTCATGCAGTCAGTATCAGAATTCTTTTTGTTTATTTTTACTCCTAATTACCTGTTTATTTCTGCAACATGCTTTTGTGTTTTGGGTTTGGTGTTCTGAGGAAAAAGCTGAGTGAGAGGTAGTGGTGATGTAACTCTGGGTTTCCCTTTTTGGAAGGATGTGATGTAAGTTGAAGAGTATGTGGGGGAAGGGTGAGTTTAGGCGAAAGGGGGAGAGTAGGAAACTTGAGTAGAACATCTGTGTGTGTGTGTGTGTGTGTGTGTGTGTGTGTGTGTGTGTGAGAGAGAGAGAGAGAGAGAGAGAGAGAGAGAGAGAATGGGTAGGAACACTAACCTGATCCATTCAGGTATTTGGTGGTAAAACCCCAGGGTGCAGTCCCTTTTAAGGAAACACTGAATAGTGGGGTGAGCTTGGTGAGGGGAAGTAGTGAGAGGGTACATTGGAAGGGTGGGGGGCTAATTAGAATCCTTAAGTTTTCGTTTATAACAGGAGCTCTGCATGTTTTAAAGTACATGGTTTAAATATGATTTTTTTCTTTTTCTGTCCTAAGAATTTTAAGTTTGACCTTCAGTCTGAGCATAGTATAGATCTATGAGGTACTTTCCCAGTCTTGAAGTTCAACTATCTTTGCAGTCGTAGAGGGGATTTTTCAATAGTCTTTTGGTGAGAAAAGACAATTTAGGGTTTTAAAAATTATGTCTGTGTTGTCTTTGTCACCCTAGCATGGGTATATACTAGTTTCTTTCTTACTTGCTATCTCTGTTATTCAGTCCAGATCAAATCAACACCACTCTTCTTTAAAGAACAGGAGGTTAATGGTAGGTCACAGTCCACCAGTGTGGTCCTTCTTCCAAGAATGTCTGTATTCAGCCAGGACTTAGAAATCCTTCAGGCCTACTTCACGCCAATGACCTTGGAAGGATTTGTATCCACTTGGTTAGTCTTTGAAGGGAGCATGTGGGGACCAGCAGGAGATCTTTCCAGCAGCTTGCAGGCACAGCCTGGTTAGGGGCAGCCACACCTGGCGGCATTGCTCCCTGACTGTTTCTGGACCTCACTTGCTCCTCTGTAAGTGGAGGGGACTTCCTGTTCTAGTGTAGTGACTAATGAGACCTCCCCACCAGGTTTGTCCTGCCAAGCCAGTTGCTCTCTGACACACCGTACTTTACACCTTTGTCTTAGAACCTGCTGTCAAGCTGGGTGGCGGGTGGGAAAGGAAGTAAGCACTGCAGGGCAATGATGATAAAGATCTGTAGAAGTTCCACAGTGAACAAATCTAAGTGCCACCTGACATGCTTTCAGTGACGTCTGGGCAGCTCCCAGGAGCCATGGTGGGCGGTTCATGAGCCCCTGGCAGTGAGAGAACCTTGTGGAGCCCGAACAGAACACAGGGTCTTTCCCCGCTCAGGCAGCCTGCAAATTGCCTGAAGGTATGGCTCAGCTGTAGGAAGAAATTTGAACTAGTGCTGGGATAAATGAAATGATTTTTGTTTACTATTTTGGTCTTTTTATTCGGCTTATTAATGATCTAGATGAGGAAGCTGGGAGGTGGGAGTTCTACCACAAAGTTTCAAAGAACCATTCCGCCAATTGTGCCTCAGGTAGGGTCTCCAGCACCCACCTGGATTTTGGCTTCAACCACAGGATCTGGCCCATGCTCTAGTCTAAATTTGAAACAAGCAAGACTCTAGTATAAATTACAGTAGATTCCAGAAATTTCTGTTGATGGTTAAGCTTGCCTGTTAATTATAAACTCCATAGCAGCTGCGGAACAGTGCCTCTTGAATGGAAAGATTATGTGGGTGGGCGCCTCCCTCTTTTCATTTAACTTTTTCATTGGTAGGTGTGTTCTAAATCAGGGTACCATTTGGGTTTATTTTTAATGAGTGGGGAAAAGAATGAGCTTGTTTTCTGTATATACTCATTGGGAACCATGATTTGGAGAGCTTGGAGGAATAGCAGGGAACACTATCACACAAGCCCCTGTTTCAGATAGCTGGACTGGCACCAGCCCACAGGGATGCCCCGCCCAAGCATGCCCCGTGCTCTTTGGGAGGGGTCTTGATAGAAGGCCACCTCTCCAGGTGGATGTTTCTGTGGGGACTGGACAGGTACGCAGTTTCAACTTGATGCCACTGCCAGACCAAAGGATTTAAGCAATGTGAAGGATTAAAAAGAGTGAGGGGAAGAAAAGGTGGAGGGCGGTGGTGCTGTCAGGAATGCGTCAGGATGAATCTCTTCTGTTTGAACATGTGCCTTGAATCTGTCCTGCCAACTATGAGGTATCATTTCACACGTTGTCTCTGGCACAGCTGCAGGGTACACACACTAATTGTTTTTGGAGGTTTTCCTTACCTGCTGCAGGACAGTGGTCTACAATAAGCCACAGTGATTTCAAAGGTTTCTTTCATCCTCCTTGAGAACAGCTAACAGTTTTCTGCTGCTTTTGCTACTGTGACCTCCCTGTACTCCCAGATCTCTGCATTTTACACTGCCCTGATGGCACCGACTTGGTGTGTGTCTTATGTGGGAAAGACAGAGCACTTCAAAGATATATCAGAAGCCAGGCGGTTATGGGGACTCATTTATTTTCCCCGTGTGTCAGGCAGCCTAGGACTCTAGCTTAGGTGTGTCCATGACTCCTTCATTTGCCCTTAGGCCAAGGGCAAAGTGGTCTGTGATTCCCAGAAGCATTTTTTCAGGGATTGTGTTGCCTATTTCTCTCCCATATGACTTTTCTCCCATTCTCTCCTTCACATTATAATATGAATTTTATTGCCTGCCTCTCTCTTCTCCCCCCAAATCAAAGATAGTTGCAAGTAGTTAGGACATTTTAGGATGATTACTAATTTTTACCTGTTTTGCCCATGTATCATCTCTTAATTTTATCAGATATACACTTACAGAGCTGCATTATAGGGAGAATTTTGTGCTGCCTCCTTCTTTTTAGAATATAGCACGTAAACCAACTATAAATTTTTCCTAAGTGTTTTGTTTAGAGGTAGAGTGTTTAGAGGTAAAGTGATTAAACATTATGAAAATCTTGAAATATTTAATATTAAACTAAAATAGAAACTGGTTGCTTACAGAAAAACATTTTAAAAATTTTATCTTAGTTTACACTGCTTCTCTCATTCCTTTATAGTCACTTTGTCAGCTACTCTGAATTCCCAGAGTGGGGTTTTAGCATAAATGTGTGCCAACTAGGGATATCTGATTTTGTGTCAACCTTCTGTAACCTTTGTTCCTATCTTGGGCAGGCAAGAACTGTGGTAGGTACAATTATTTTATTTAATCAATTTTAATTGTAGTCCTTAAAATTCTGCAATTGACATCCCAAGAAACCTTTTCATAGCAACGATAGCAACGCCCAAGGATAACAGTGTATCAGCAGACTAACATTTCTGTGCAACCCTGTTTGATTCATATCAATGAATAGTTCCTTTTACTTCCTCCTGCGTTCTTTCTCTCTTTCTTGTAGGCATTTAATCTGATTCACATTTTGTATCTAAGCATTTACATAATGCCCATCACCAGATGCAGCAATTCACCCACTGTTTGATAAATGAGATTTATAAAACAGCATCTCAAAAGCATCAATTTTCAGAACTGTGTTGACTCGGATAGAAATGAACACTTTCAATTGGTTTATCTGGTTGCTCTCAGGCATATGAAAGAAGAGGTAACCTAACATGCTAACCACCTTTTGCCAGAAAACTAACTGAGCTGAGAGAAAAATAGAAGAAATTCTCCTAATGACTTCCTATTGAAGTGCGTGTTCTCCTAGATACAACTCTGGTATAAGGGACAGAAGGTACCACAGGTATCATGTTTAGATCTCAAATTGAACTTGAGATCTAACTTGATGGCCCCACCCCATCTCACTAAGCATGGCAGAGAGTGCTGGGTGCTGTAGCGCCGTTCCAGGCGGGATGATAAAAAGCAGGAGCAACCCACGGGTTGCCTTCTGTGGGAACTGAGAGGACAGCTTTCTGAGCCAGAGACCTAGGAATAAGGAGCGAATATTATTTAATCATTTTATTTTCTCGTGGGGCTAATCAAATGTTACTTTTTCTGTCTGGGACTCAGCCTACTTTCCTTAAAGTTGTTTGAGTGTTTCAGAAAATATATGCTTATTAATGAGGATACTCTGGAATGGGAAGTGTTTTACTTGTGGCTTTTAAAATTTTGCGTCTTTTAAACAATTAACACTGCTTTTGTGTTGTGCTGCAAGAGGCTTCTTTGTTAGCTATAATAGTAGGTAACAATATATATTACAAGTGCTCTTCATTTCCAATGTGCTTAGCATTATTAAGCTGATGAGTCCTTATGCTCATCCTATAAAGTAGGTCAGCATTATTATCCTGGGTATATGTAAAGAAAAGCAGAAAGGAAATAGAGTTTTAATCTTGCTTAGGTATTGCAAGTTTAGTTTAATTCTAGAATTTTGTCCATGGGCATCTTCTTTACCTCTGTCTAGTCAGAAAGGCCCAATAGAATTTTGTTTTTACACTTTTTCTTGTTGACATTTAATTTCAATTTAGTCCTTAAACAGAAAGGATATAAATTTGGCCACCAACAATCTTGTGTTCTTTACTACTGAAATACCAGTCAGCTGCTTTGGTTAAGGGTATAGAGAAAAAATTTCCTTTTCATGTTTAAAATCATTAACTGAAAGTCAGCATAT